TGCTGAAGTTGCTTATGCTTTTTGTATAAATAACTTCTACAAATGCTCTTGAGAAAGCAATGCAAAAATTCAGGGTCTCTCAGGAACCTGCTCACATCTAATCCTCTCCATAAATTAATTGCCTGCTCCTCTGGGGAAAAGAGGAGCTGGCACCACCATACAAACCAGAAGAGTGCCTGCTTCCTTTCCAAAATCTCTGCATAAAATGCACCCGTGGAGGGGGCAGCTGTATTAGGAGCCGTTGAGCTGCTTAAGTCCTGCAAAGGTGCTCTGAGAGCGGGTGAAGAGGAGCAGCCGGAGACGATTCCGGCCGTGCAAAGGTCCAGACCCGCAGATCCTGGGGAAGGACATGGGATGCACGTGGCACAATCCCACTGATTTTTAAACCCCGGTAATGGATATGGGAGGGCTGTGACGGCGGCCTGTGCTGCCTCCTGTGCTAAGGACAGATTTCAGCATCAGCTAAATACCAGCGGAAGGGATTTCTGTCTGAAAGCCTGGCTGGGAAGGCAAGAAGCATGCATACGAGTTACGGAAATGACACACGGCTGCTTCGTGTCCATAAGTGTCTTAGGGTCTGTGCCAGTGGTACTTTTAGTTTAATTTAAAGCGTTGGTGTTTATTTTGAAAGCAGGATTTTGGTTTGGTTTTTTTTTTTTTTTTTAAAAATGGCATTAAAATACATTAAACAAGTATCTTGCAAAGTCGAAAGTGTTAAGCACAGCGAGGGGTGTTTTGGATAAATATGGATCTTTGCAGAGAGGGAGTTGTCTTTAATATCAAACTGAACTAACAATAATGCCTGGAAAATATTGTTCCTCTTCATTATTTTTTCTACTTTGGTATCTTGGCCAAACCGTGCGTTGTTTGTTAACCAGGTACCTTTAATGAGATCAGTCCACAGCTGGGCTCAAAAATTGCCCCAAATTAGTTGAAATTTTCAATGCAGACAAATGTACATGCCTCCTCTTTTTACAAGCGGAGCCTCGCGGGGCTGGTGCCTCGGCGGGCTTGTTCCGTCTTTCAAAGGCCGGGTGAGCCCTCCCTGCTCAGAGGGTTTCAGAGCTTTAAACACCGCGGATCTGCGGGAGGGCGGAAACGAAGGAGATGGGGTCTTGCCAGCTCGGCCTCCGCCGGCTGCAGCACCGGCCTTGTCCCTTTCCTGCCTGCTCCCAGGTAACCTCCCCGAGACCATTTGGCTGGAAAACTTTAATCCCAGCCATTTTCCATTTGTCGGGGTTCAGCCCCAGCCAGCAACGCAGCACCAGGCAGCCACTCGCGCACTGGGGAGGGCGGAAACGAAGGAGATGGGGTCTTGCCAGCTCGGCCTCCGCCGGCTGCAGCACCGGCCTTGTCCCTTTCCTGCCTGCTCCCAGGTAACCTCCCCGAGACCATTTGGCTGGAAAACTTTAATCCCAGCCATTTTCCATTTGTCGGGGTTCAGCCCCAGCCAGCAACGCAGCACCAGGCAGCCACTCGCGCACTGCCCTACCCTGATGGGATGGGGGAGAGAATCGGAGGAGTGAGAATGAGAAACACTCCTGGGGTGAGATAAGAACAGTTTAATAATTGAAATAAAGTAAAAGAGTAATGATAATAATAACAATATAATAATGATAATAACAATATCCAAAGCAAGTGATGCCCAATGCAATTGCTCACCACCCACCGACTGATGCCCAGCCAGTCCCCAAGCAGTGGCCCCCCTGCCAGCCTTTCTCCTAGTTTTATTGCTGAGCATGACATAATATGCTATGGGATATCCCTTT